AAAAAAAGAGGGATCTCTTACCCTTTGGGACAGCATGGATGAACCTGGAGAATATTATGCTAATTGAAATAAGCCAGTCAGAGAAAGACAAGTATCACATGATCTCACTTATTTGTGGAATCTAATGAACAAAATGAATTGATCAACAAAATAGGACCTGAGGCATGGAGACATGGAACAGACTGACATACCTTGATGTGGGGTTGGGGAGATGAGAAGAGATAAACCAAAGAACTTATATAGTTATATGTATAGCCCATGGACATGGGCATAGGGTAGTGAAGACCTGGGGCATGGGTAGGGGCTGAGAGGAAGGCGGGGGGAAGGGGAAACATCTCTAATACTATCAACAATAAAAAATACATATTAAAGATAATAATAGTACTAGTCACCTATAGTACTTATGGGATTTTAAGAAGTCAAATTTACAAAGTACATATAGATGTTCCTCAATTTACAGTGGGGTATGTCCCCATAAACCCACTATAAGTTGAAAATATGGTTGTAAAAAATGCACTTACTACATCTAACTACTGAACTTCATTAGTCTCATCTACTTAACTGTGCTCAGAACACATTATACAAAAAAACCATGGCAACACAGTGCACTTCAGTGTTGTTTGTTGACCCTGGCAATGGTGTGCCTGACTGGGAGCTGTGGCTTGCTGCCCCTGGCCACAAATTGCTAGTCTGGGCAAAGATAAAACTTCAAAACCTGAAGAATGGTTTCTACTAGTTTCACACCAGTGTAAAGTAAAAAATTATAAGTTGAACCATTGTAAGTTGAGGACTTTCTGCACTTAAAATAGTACCTGGCACATTATAAACAACATTTTTAAAAATATATATTTTTATTGATTTCAGAGAGGAAAGGAGAGGGAGAGACAGAAACATCAATGATGAGAGAGAATAATTGATTGGCTATCTCCTGAACGCCCCCCATTGGGGACTGAGCCCACAACCCGGGCATGTGCCCTTGACTGGAATCAAACCCGGGACCCTTTAGTCCTCAAGCCGACGTTCTATCCACTGAGCCAAACCGGCCAGGGCTAAACACCATTTTTTAAAACTTCATTTAAAAGCTTTCAAGCACAAGTGAGTAGGAATGGCTGTGACATTATGAGATTTAAGGAAGAAGTCAGGGATGGACAGAGAGAAAATAGTGTATGAGAAGAACCTCAGATCCAGTAGTTTTACTTTCAATCAAGAGAAAGATCTATAGTTTCCTATCAGTCTGTACTTTCTTGAAGCATTTTGGAAAGATCAATTACTTCTCTAATTCAAGGAGAAGTACAAATTCTTAAAGTTACAATTCTACTAGAGTAAAACATCTGTTTTGTAACACTAATGACAACTTATTACAAACATTATATTGCCTAAGGATCAATTTTTAGAATTATATGTTTTCTCATATAGAGGATTAAATCTTAAAAAGAAGTGAACAGATACATTAGACATTTAAAAAAATTCTATATTTAATATTTTAAAAGGCTTTTAGAAATTATTAATCTAAATTGTTTCTATTTACCTTTACTAGCAATTTCTCTTTCAATGAGTGTGAAACTTCTTGTTCACATTCTGATTCTGAATTTGAGAGATCTTTATAATTTTTTTTTGTGTTTGCTGCTCTTCGTGGAAGTCTGGTTCTCCCATCTAGAATGGTTTCATCTACCTTTTTGGTAATATTCTTCTTGGGTGTCTTGGGGAGAAAAATTCCTGAATATTATATCAATATTTGAGTTACAAGAAGCACAAGTTATTTGCTATAATATATTTCTAGAAATAAAAGAGATTTCAGATTAATATTTTTAAAAAGACAGGAGAATTTTACAAAAAAGACTGGAATACACCAGAGTATTACTTAGTGATAAAAAACCTAGAGAATATCATGTTAACTAAAGTAATTCAGAGAAAAACAAATACTGTATAATTTCAATTACATGTAGAATCTCAAAAACAAAACAGAAATCAACGCATAGATACAGAGCAAACTGATGGCTGCCAAAGCGGGAGGGGGTAAGGAAGGACAAAGGGGATAAAGATTAAGAAGCACAAACTTCCAGTTATATATTTTAAAAAGACTGGATTTTACATTTCCATTCCAAATATCTTCTCTATTGCCTTTTTATCACTGTCATTAAAGGTTTGAAAGGCCTGATTTATATTACCTAACTTAAGTAAAAAAGAGAGAGAAAAAAAGAGATGTCAAAAATACCTTTCACCACAGAATAAAATAGACCTAAAACAGGCTAACATGTTTAAAAAGGCAGAAGGTAGGAAGTAAGGGTGCAAAGACTGACACAATTATGAGAAACAAGTGACTGATAAGGATAAAATTATGTGATGACACATGAATTTTTTTTCATGATAAAGAGAAAAATGATTTTAAAGGGATGTTTGAACACAAACTTGCAAGTTTTACCATTTTAGATCTTGGTTGTTCCCTTTCCAAAGATGGTCCTGCAATTCAAGAAAATAAGGTTAAATTTTTCAAATGGTTAAAAACTGGCATTTCCCTTCTCCTTTATATTATAAAACTTTTTAAACATACTAGAGAATATGTAACTTAAGTTATAAAGTTAACATCCATGATGCTACTATTCAGTTTAGGAACTACAGTGGAACCTCGATTCTCAAATTTAATGCATTCCAGAAGGCTGTTCGAGAAGCACTGAATCATTTGTTCAAACACTGAATCATTTTTTCCCATTAGAAATAAGGTAAATTGAATTAATCTGTTCCAGACCCCCAAATGATTCCATTTTATTTAACCCTAGAGGCCCAGTGCACAAAATTCATGCATGGGTGGGGTCCATAGGCCTGGCCAGTGATCAGGTCCAATTGGGGCCAGGCCGATCAGGGCCCGATGGTTGCCGGGCGGGGTGTGGAAGGAACAGACACCGGACGCGGCCACTGCCGTCATCATTGGCAGCCCGCCACCGTGTAGTACCCCACCTCCCCCCCCTCCTCCTTTCCTCACTGCTGCGCCACCACCACAGCGGGCGGGTGGCATGCTGATCGGGGCCTGCTGGCCAGAAGGAGGGATGAGGCATGGGAGGTTGGCTGCCGGCCCCGAGGAGGGAGCCAGCCCTTAGCCCACCTGGGAAAGGGGCCATGTCTACCGCTACCCATCCCCAATTCTCCTTTCCAACCCTGGGAGCCGGCCCTAATCGAGTGATCAGGGCCTGCCGGCTGGTGGGGGGGGACCCCAGGAGGTTGGCCGGCTGGGGGTGGTTGGCTGTGGGAGCGCACTGAACACCAGGAGTCTGCTCCTGCATTGAGCATCTGCCCCTGGTGGTCAGTGTGCGTCATAGCAACCGGTCGTTCCAGTTGCTTAGGCTTTTATATATAT